ACAGAAACTAGCATGCAGCAGAGAGTTCTGGTGGCCTAAGAGTGAAGGAGTTATTAAGTAGTTATGGCTTTTCAGAGGCTGTAACCCAAACTACTTCTGCCAACTCAAAGGTATGCAGTTTGAATCCAGTTTGAGCATCACCTGCTCTGTTGGAGGAAAAGGAGCAGTCTCCTCCTGCACAATCAACTGCCTCTGAAAACACACTGGATGAGTAGCAATCAGTCACTTCCAATTCAGTCCCACATGACACATAACAACAATATGAAGCAAGGTTAAGGGGAAGTCAGCTGTGTCAAAAGAGTTGTGATTATAAACCCATATTGTTACTATATATATTTTTTTCGATTGCTCAAACAGATATTCAGCTTTAAAATATTTTAAGACAGCGATGGTTAAAGGTTTGGTTTTCATATGAACCAGTCCATTTTCCTCTGTTAAAGCAGAAACTCATAGCCCAAGGCTCAGTCAGCTGTCATCTAAATGCTGCCTTTGGTCACAAGGAAGAGGAATCAGAGAAAACTCACCCACCAACCTCATGGAAAATGGATTTAACTGCTTCATCTTGATGCTGTGTTTCAGATAGCGTCTTCAAGCAGAAGTAACCACAGAAGCTATCCATGATCTAGAAAGGGTTTGTTTTATTTTCACTTTCTGCAAAATTGCACAAAACATTTCCCTGTCAGAAACAATGACTTCTTTGCAAAAACATTTCAGGTTCTGAACTGTAGCCAGTCTAAGCTGAGGGTGAAGCTACAGAAAGAACAGACACACAAGAATGAAAGAAAGATGAAGGAGTAGGAAGACACTCAACTTGCCACTCAAGGGCCCTGATTATCAAATGCATACAACTGGCCTTCACATTCAATTCAAACTTGCAGAGGGATGAGGAAGTAGATTTGGGAAGCAACATGAGGTCAGGAGGAAGTACAGGAACTCTTTCTTTCTTTTTACATAATTTTATTGGTCTGCATAAAATCATTCACATACATTTAATTTCGTGCCTGTACTTTGCGCTTTATATAATCTTTCATTTATATTATATTTCATACCTGTGCACTGTGTTTTGTACCATTGTTCCTAGTCATTGTATTTATATACTTAAATTCTATGGATCTATGTCTATTACCAGCCTGTCTTTTCAAACCCCTATTGAATCTTTCCTATTCCTTCACCCTCCCAACCACCACTAACTTCTATTTTCTTAGTGATTTCCCCTTCCCTTCTTCCTCCCTCTTCTCCCTTTCCTCTACCTCTTTTGAACCTTTATACACATCTTGCTCAGTTACTCTTCTGTTTTCACAGTTCAAAATGAATTTAACCTGCCTCTAACTCACCCACCCAGCTCAAATGAAGCAAGTTTCTTACAGTTTGTAAGACTGTATCTTCAACAACATAAAAAGGAAGATTACATGAAGGTTACACCATAAGAAACCCCACAAACCCACTGCCACCAAGTTAGTTCTGATGCACAGGGCCCCTTCATCAGGTTTCCTCTTTACAAGAGGAGACTAACTGTCTCATCTTTCTCCCATGGAGCAACTGGTGGAACTGAACTACCTACATTTTGGGTAGCAGTTTGACACATTGCGAACTATGCCACCAGGGCTGCTTTGTAAAGATTGAAAGGGATCATAGATTTAATAATTCTGGCATGAGAAAAACTAGCAATAATTTGTAGCCACTGCTCTTTTAAGCTATTACTGAGAATATGATATTCAACCTCACCTCAGTTTGAAAGTCATCTGTAGGAGCCAGGTTCTACAGAAATGTATTGGCTGAGACTGGTGAGCATTAGGGTGGAATGTTGATTCGCTAAGGGGAGTGAGATGATGTGATAAGGCCTTCCATTTAAAAACCCTTTGATCGGCAGTATGGGGCTGAAATCCAATTTGAAAGTCATCTGCAAGATCCGGGTTCTACAGAAGCTTGTTGGCTGGGACTGGTGAGCATTGGGGTGGAATGTTAATTCACTAAGGGGAGTGAGATCATGTGATTTGGCCTCCTATTTGGAAACCCATTAGGGTTTTGTTCGTTGGGTAGCTATATAAGTCACGCACGACTTGACGGCACTTAACAACAGTAACAAAGACAATCTAGAGAAAGCTATGTTGGCCTAGTGGATAGAAAGTTATATTACCAAGCCAAAGATGGGTGATTTTAATCTGCGACCTTCAGAGCTGATTTAAATTGTTGCTTGTCAAACATTCTTCTAAGTGGTATAGCATAGGTCTGTGCATTGCTGTACAGAGGTAACTGGCAGTTGCTGTGATACTAAATACTGTGACACTGATGTGTCAAATGTGATAATGGTGGACAGAGTTTGGTGGAGCTCCCCAATTAAAACAAGCTTAGAAGCAGGAGTGGCATCAACTTCCCAAATGGCTTGCCTCCAGAAACTCTATGAACATGGAAAAATGACCAAAGTTATACAAGTGTTCAGGTCTTTCATTCATAGGGTCACTAAGAGTTGTCTACGACTCGATGGCACTTAACAACAACAAACAAAACTCACTTATTTATTTTTGAAAAACAAGTATTTATTGAGAGCATATTATTCACAAGGCGGTTCACTGGGCTTTGAGAGAAAATGGTGGGAAAAATCCACCAAAGTTCCTGCCCTCAGAGAATTTCCCGTCTCTTGGGCAAACAAATAATGACTTAAAAATCATGCACTTCTAAAACAGTGGTTTGCATGTGTATGATTTTTTTTAAAGTAGTGTTTTGAGAGACTAAACGGGAAGTTTAATCAGGACAGAAGATAAGCTAAAGGATAAGTCAACATCAAGCAGGGGAGGAGGCAGGGAAGTGTTCCATGGGAAAGACCAACTTGTGCAAAATCTGTGGTGGGAAGCACTGAGAGAGAGGTTATGGATGACGCAAACCACCAAGGAAGACCTAAATGAAACGAAGTAGAAGAGACAAATGAAGTAAGAGTTCTAAAAGAATGAACAGGACGTCTTGGAAAGGTGCAGCCATATTCCTTAGAGGCAAAGATGGCAAAGTTTCAGCTCGCGCACTTTGGACATGTTGCTAGGAAAAGCTATTCCTTAGAAAAGGACATCATGCCTGGAAGTGTGGAGGGTCAGTGAAAGAAAGGAAGACCCCCGTCAAGATGGGTGGTAATTTACAAATTCATTGTTCCTACATGTATTCTATTGTGTGAATGTACCATAATTTCTCAATCCATTCCATTGTGGTTGGACATCTGGGCTGTTTCCATGTTTTTGCAATGGTGAATAACGCTGCTATGAACATTGGTGTACAAGTCTCCAGATTATATCCCTGTGAACATCAAAACCATTTTCCATTAGAGTGAAAAGAAAACCTACTAACTGGAGGTGGAGGGAACATTTGGCAATACCATTTAACTTACATTTTGATCTGTTTCATCTTAATGCTCATGTATGGAATAAGGTGAAAATTGAGGTTCACAGAAGTGTTGGAATTATTTTTACAGTAAATTAATAAACACAACGCATAACCCACAGTTTTAAAGTCTAGGTCATAGGCCAACTAGAAATGGTTACTGGTTTCTCAATGCCACTTTGTTGGAAAGGTAGTTGTAGAGCAAACACCATGCTCTGGTGGCCAGGTCCACAGGGAGCTGTGCCCTAATCCAAAGGTAGTGCCTTCCTACTAGCCACCCCAAAGGAAGAAGATGGGCAATTTACTCTCATGTAATTTACTGCCTTGAAAAACCTCAAAAAGAGAGTTGGTTATGAGTGGTTCCAATCAATAGCTATGAGTTGAGAGTTGTTGTATATTCCAGGTAGAAATTCTTGTACACATACCTGCTAGCATGTCCATTCATAACTACTCATTCCTACCACTTAGCTCTGATTTAGAGCAAAAATGAAACCTTAAGGGGTATGTGTGCAGGTAAGTTGTAGGTGTTGGGGTAACAGAAAGAAGTAAACAAGAATGTTTCCTTCTACCTGTTTTATCTAGTTAGCTTGTGCTGCTGTAACAGAGAAATCACAAGTGAATGGCTTCAACAAACAAATTCATTCTCTCCCAGTTAAGAGGTTGAAGTTCAAATTCAGGGTGCCAACTCCTAGAGAACTCTTTCTTCCTGTGTTGGTTTTGAAGGGAGAGCTTGTCTCCTTCAGCATCTATTGGCCCAAGGTCCCTTAGAGGTCTCCATGTAGCTTAGCCTTCTTGTGTGTCAAAGAGCTTCCCAGCTCTATTCACAGATATATTCACATCATGGGATACTATACAGCACTCAGGAGCAACAATTTAAGGAAATATTATGTAATTTGGGAGAGGCTTGGGAGCATTATGCATGATTGTATGAAACACAGTGTGAATGAAGAATAGCATGAAACACAATGTATATAAATTTTGTAAGCAAATCAATTAAAAAAGAAAAAATGATAGTTTTCCCACATTGGAATAAAATTTGATAACCTAAAAATTGGAACACAGTCTAAAGAAAGATAATTTTCTGATTTGTGGATTTTTTTTTCATTAGCTCAGCATTGAAATGTTTTGTCTTGGTTCAAACTATCCCAGATTTTCTAGTGCATCTGGTTGCCATACCATCACCTCCAAATGACCGGGGGATAGCATTGACCTGTGACCAAGAAAGAAGTGGATACACCTCCAGTGTATTCTAGCCTAGGCACATAGATTTTTGGGTGATGGTCATACCCTTAAAAAAGAATCGGCTGCTGGGCATAGGTGATCTTACCATTCTGGACATCATCTCGTAAATTGAATGTCTGTCTCCTATATGTTACTCTTTTGCTGTACTTCAAGGTAGAACAAAAAAAAAAAAGTAGGACACAAATGATATCGAGTAATAAATACATAAAGTTTATCATTAAAATGGTAACATTACACAAGGTTTTATTATTTACATATTAAATTTCTGTAACTCTGGAAAGTCAAGTTACATCATCAAGTTGTTTGTTTCAAAGCAGAGCTAGGTATTGGCAATAGTTCTTGTTAGAGTCAGGAACATAGACAGGTTTCACAATACGGAGCATGCTTTTCGGTCAGTAGTATTGCTTCAGGAGTAGTAGTATTTCACAGACCTTTCCTATAACTTCCAGAAAATTCAGCCAGCCAGATTTAGGTTCAAACTTCTTTACAAAGCCATTTTCCTACAAGAGAATATATTTAACATCAGTGGAAAGGCTGGGAAAAGCAAAGAAATTGGAATTTTAATAATGGGTTTACTTTCCCTAATTTTCTTCATTATTGTACAGTGATTAAAATGTTCGGTGTTTGTATTGATTACCAAAATGCTGGCAGATGAAACCCTCAGTGGCTGCACTGGAGAATGAGTGGCAGTCTGCTTCTGTAAAGGTCTACAGCCTTGGAAACCAAACCCCGTGGGGGCAGTTCTGCTCTATCCTTTACGGTGTCTATGAGGCAGAATCAACATAATGACAATAGGTTAGAAGCTCCCTTTCCAGCCTTTCTAAAGCACCACTGTGCAAGAGAAGTGAAATATAAGCTACTTACGTAACTTCAGTTTGTTCATAGCCACATTTAAGAAGGTAAAAAGAAATAGAAAAACTGATTTTTACATACATTTAATTTTACATATCCAAAATGTTATCCTTTCAATGTGTATTCTGTAAAAATGATTAATGAGAGCCTTAAATTCTTTGTATCATACCAAATCTTCAAACTCTCACGTGTATTTTATACTTATAACATATCCTAATTTGAGACTTGCCCACTTCTTCAAGAGCCCAATTCTTCAATAGTCACATGTGGCTGGGTGCTTTTGTATTTGGACAATACAGCTCTAGAGGAGTGTCTCATATTTTTTTTTCTTTTCTCTTTAGTCCTCAATGGTCCAGGATTAAAGTATAAATTAATATTTGTAAATTGCACCATAATGAGACCTGGTGTCATAGTGTGTATGTGTTGAGATGCTAACTGAAAGATTGGAAGTTCAAATCTACCAGCTGTTCCAGGGGGAGGAAAACAATCTCCTGTAACTATTTACAGCTTTGGAAATTGAAGGAGGGTCGCTATGAGTGAAAATTGATCCAAAGGCAGTAAGTAAACTACATTGTACTGAAATTGATGAGAACTCACAAGAAATTGAGGTTAAATCAATGCCTTAGAGAATATGACAAAATAAAAAAGCTTCATAGCAACCCTCTATTTGGTTTCTGAGGCTGTAAATCTATGAGTAGAGATTGCCTGTATTTCTCCCATAGAGTGGCTGGTCGTTCCAAACCAAAGACTTTTCAGTTAGCAGTCGAACACCAATATACTACACTACCAGGACTCCTTTGTAATCTATGGAGAGGTTGTTGCTTTTATCAATGTTAATTATCTTTTTGAAGAGATGCAGTTGGGAGAAGGGTAGTTATCCTAGTGAAGTGGTCACTGCATTTAATTAATTTACTATTTATATTTATAGTGTATCTTTACTGAAAAGTATCTCTGAGATCATGTAGCCTATTAGTCTTGTCAATGAAGAAGTGGCAAGAAAAATAACTGTTATTAAAACAATGTCTTTGTGGCTGGGACTGGGTTAGAATAAAACCACTGTACTTTCCATTCTATTACATCAACAACAAACATCCAATCAAATACCAAAAGGATTTGAAAACCATTTTTTAATGTTCACTCAGCAAGCCTTGGCTCTACATCCACTGAGATCCTGATTCTAGAGTTAGAATGATACTTTCAAGGACTTGATGGCATAAGTGCCTAATGTCACAGGGTTAACCAAGTATATCTCTTTGATGTTTAGAAAAGACTTGGAACTTCTAGACTTGGAAGACTTAGAATCATCTTCATGAGCATTACCAGCAAAGCATATTAACACAAATCGGTGCCCATTCTGTTGGAAAGCTTGTCACCAAAGTCAGCTGCTGCCTCTGTGTTGCTAAATGTCAGTCATGTTTTTTCTCTGTGTAAGAAGATACAAGTTGTCATGTCCTAAGAGAAGAAATCACTTCCTCTCTCTTCTTCCTCTTCCTCTCCGGCCCTTACACATTCACAAAATTCCCTTAAGCTCTAAACTGGCATTCACTTCACTATTCATTTTCATAAGTTTCATATTTGTCAAGTATATTCAGACACTATCTTTGATTCAAAATGATTTATTATTATTATGACAATGGCCACTATCTATTATGGCTGGGTAGTTAGTATATCATCTTATATACATTTAATTTCTAAAATAAAGAGAGTGTGCAGAGGAAAGAATAGACAGATCAGGTTGTATGAAGATTAAAATTTATGAAAAAAATTGAAGAACCTATTAAGAAAATATGTACATTTGCCATGAAAGAGTTCATTCTAAATTTGAACGACAAAGTCCATCAACCCCTCAAAATATGAAAATGTAAAGGTAGTGAAAAGAGAAAGATGAATAATTAGTAAGCATATGGGAGAAAAATTCAACAGTACCAGCAGTCAAAGACATTAAAATGTTAATAAATCTTGGTTTTTAACCTATTAAATTTGGCTTATAATTTTAAGCTTCTTTCAGTTCTTTTTATTAGATCTTTAACTGGGACGATCAGGACCTTGGATTTTTGTTCCCAGTATGAAAGGATATGTCAAAGGGGTTTGATTAGCCCAGGACATGATGTAATTCAAATTTCTGAAAGATCACTGTAGCTGATATGTGGAAAACAGACCATAGCAGGGTAAGGATGGAAGCAGAGGAAATGAAAGCAGGCTATTGATGTAATCCAGTGAAGGAGGAGGACCCTGAATAGAGAGTATTCAAAGTTGCAGCCAATAAAAATTACTGATGAATTGGAGATGAGATATGAGAGGCAACTCCCAAGATTAGAGGACTAGCATCTAAAGCATTTTTTGTGAGGGGCTCTTAGGGGGGAAAGCTGTTTTCCCTGACTTTTATATCAGTAGCATGCATTTTTGCATTATTTGAATCATGTTTCGTTTTCCCCCTAATACGTGATTTTTAAACTGCAAGTTAAAATTTAAAAAGAAAAATAATTTGTCCTCAAACTTTATTTAATTAGAGGACCTATGAGGATTCTAAGAGTGCTCCTTGGAGGCAAAAATGGCAAAACTTCCTCTCTCATACTTTGGACATACGGCTAGGTGAAGTTATTCCTTGAAAAGAGATATCATGCTTGGAAAGATGGAGGGTCAGTGAAGGAGAAGGCCCTCAATGAGACGGATTGACATGGTGCCTGCAGCAATGGGCTCTAGAGTGTCAGAGATGGTATGATGGCACAGGATGAGGAACAATTCAGGTCAGCTGTTCATAGGGTCACTATGAGCTGTATTAGACTCGAAGGCATCTCACAACAACAAGAGAGCTCTGGTGGTCTAGTCTTTAGGGACTTGTCCCTGCTAGCCCAAAGGTCACACCTCTGTGGTGATCTGAATCTACCAGCAGCTTCAAGGGAAAAAAATGTTCAAACCCTTCCAAATAGCTTCAAAACCAACTGAAGTGTCAGCTATGAGTTAGTCCTGATTCCATGACATTGACTTGACTTTGATGAGGACATTTGAGACTGTATCACCTCATTGTTAGATCTTAAAATCTTTTGAAAATGCTTTAATCAAACGGAATGCTTATGCAAGCATTTACATGCCCTGTATGTCCGCTCACATGGCTTCAAACTGACCAGATCATCATTTAGAGCAAGAGAATTGGAGGAGGGGCAAGGGGAAACCCCAACAACAACTTTCTTGACCTTGGAAAGCACCAAACTGACTGTACATCTGTACTTTCAAAGGGGCTTTCTTTCAGTATTAGATTTGGCTTAAGAAGGAGATATTCAAATTTTTTGGAATTTCCCATTTAATTTTTATATTTGTAGAGTATTTGGCATTTTACAAAACATACTTAGGGAAAAAAAATCTCTAATCCTTTAACTCCCCTTCTGAGATGGGTATTTTTGTCCTCAGTCTATTGCCTTTGTTAGGTACCGTAGAGTCAGCTTGGGCTGCTAGGGACCCTTGGAACAGAGGAAGGAAACACTGCACAGTCCTTTGACATCATCCCAATCACTGCTATGTCTGAGCCAGATGTTGCAGTCACTGTGTCCATCATCTCACTGAGAGTTTTATTCTTTTTAAATGGTTTCTACATGATTAAGGGGGCTTTGGTGGCCTAGTGGTAAGGAATTGCTCTGCCAACCCAAAGATGCATGCTATGAATTCACAAGCTGCTCCCCAAGAGAAAGATGTGCAATCTCCTTCAGTGCAATTTACTGCCTTTGAAAACCCACTGGGGGGGTCAACTGCGGGTCAGTTCCAACTCGATGTTATATAACAATTGCTTTACCAAGCATATGCCCTTCATCCACCTCTTCGGCCTTTCTCTTTGGTCTCTTAGCCTTCTTTGGCCCTTCCTGATAATGAAGTCTCGCCATCTTCACCTCACCAAAGAACATTTTGATGATAGATCTTTCTGAATCTCTGGGTACTCCACTGACTTGACCAAGGTCATGTGTCTAGTAAGAGATAAACTTCCAATTTCAATTGTCATTCATTCTTTTTTTCCTTTTGTTTATTTTTATTTTTATTTTATACTGGTTTATTTACAAAGTTTGTATATATTGTTTTCACACTGGATTTTTCCAATTTCCTTCAGCTCCGCTCTTCACTCTTTAAATTGTGTGACCCAACGATTAACGCCCTCCGCCTACTGCCCACCACCCATCCTCACCCCTCTGCTCCCACTCTCCCCTATCTTGAATCCTTATACTCATTCCATAGTAATGATCTCACACAGTATTAGTCCATATGGGACTGAATTGGTTCACATAGCATAATGCACTCCAGTCCCTCCCGAGTCAGCTAATAATTTACAAAATCATTGCTCCTGCATGCTGTATAGTATTCCATCATGTGAATGTACCATAATTTCTCAATCCATTCAAATGTGGTTTGACATTGGGGCTGTTTCCATGTTCATGCTATCGTGTATAATGTTGCTATGAACATTGGTGTACAAGTCTCCACTTGTACCTCGGTTCTCATTCTCTTGGGGTATATTCCAAGCAGTGGAATAGCTGGGTTGTGTAGAATTTGCATGTTAAGCTTTTTGAGGAGGTGCCAAATTGCCTTCCAGAGTGGTTGTACCATTTTACAATCCCTCCAACAATGTATGAGTTCCTATCTCACCATATCCTCTCCAACATTT